AAAATGCCAAGATCATACTAACAAAATTAATTTTCAGGGTTCTAATGCTGGCGAGGGGAACAGCCATTCACAAATCCTTTCTTGTACCTTTATTTGCCCTACAGGCTCCAGAAAGCATTGTTTCATGGATTAAGTAAACCTTTCAAGTTATCTTAATCTCTGTTTCATATTATAATCTGCTTGCGGCTGTTAATTAATTCAACTTAGTTTTGTTGTTCCATTACAGGGGTGAGTATGGCATATGGACTGCTTTCTTGGCTCTTCTCGTTCGCCTCTTCTTCTTTATTCCTGGTAGGATATTTCTCTTCAGAGTTCAGAGTTCTCCAATTTATTTGTTGAATTTTTCATTCTGTAAGTTATTATACCAGTAAGACTCTTGAGTGGACAGCCACACGTGCTCACTCGCTTCCTTATACATAGGGTGTTCGACAGAGTTCAAATTTTCTTGAGAAATGTCTTACGAGATACCCTTTCAACAAATAAAGTAGATATCAAAATACTTAATTAAAATAATCCAAACAATAAAATAAAGTGGATTAGAGAGCAGTTGCAGCGTATTCAGTGCTGTAATGTCGAGTGCATCTTGACTTTGTCTGGATAATGTAGTCTTAACTTCTTTCTTCGACTTATGTGATATCGGCTTTTCTGTAGGTGAACTGGAGTTGCCATTTATAACATTGCTATTGATAATTGTGTGTCCTCATCAAATTACAAGGCTGAGGTTAGTAGATCCATTATAGACAGTTGACAAGGTTTTTTCTACTTATTTGAACTAATTTCGTGTTTCATTTTCTTGTTGATCGCAGGGGAACACAGGAAGGTATTACTCTTTCGTTGGTAATAGCAGTTTACTTGGCTTTCCAGCATTTTTCAAGAGCCGGCAGTTTGAGGAAAGCAATTGATCAAGGTTCGATCCTAGCCACCTTAGCCGTGATCTGTATAGTTGCTGTCCTGTGCTTGCTGTTGATCTAACTGACGATACTTTCATCAGTTTTCTGTAAATTATCGACCTTCAATAATAAGATACGAGAATTTGTGCGTGTTTTAGGCTAATGGATGTGAAGCATTTTGCTTAAGACCATTTGCTTGAATACCTACTTGTTCAATCTTTTTGTACATATAAATATCATACTGGCTACAATTATATGGTTCTCATATGAATCTTAGCAGTATAAGGTTAGAATTTTCATAAATAAAGATGTGATGGGAGAATTTTGTAACCTGTAAGTTATGTTAATGATGTATCATTTTCTGCCTACAAGCACAAGGATATAAAGGGCATTCTCCGAGAGAAATGGCTATTTTCGACTAAAATAATGGCAGTCAGTAACTTGCTTGGGTCGGTATTAGTAATATGTGTTGTTCCTCCGGGAATACAGCTGGTAGCTAAGAAGCAAGAATACGGATACGTAATTCGAAAACAGTACGATACAATTATGTCAATAATTTATTTATTTATTTTTTAAGGAAACTTAAATGTGCGGATACGTGTAAAATAAGTGTGTGAACAGGGTTAGACACTTCTATTCTACTTCTGCCTAGAGACAAAAGAAATGGAAAATTTTTCCAATTCTGTTTTATATGTTCTCGAATCAAACCTTGATAAAGGTCCGATATTTTTCAATTGTTATCCAAATTTTTCTGTTTATTTGACTGCTCCAAATGTTTTGCGATCCTCAATGCCAGACATTCAGATGCAAAATATGCATTGGAAAAGTGATACTCAATCTATTGCTTTAATTTACTGAGTATATTACAAAGATATGTTTACTACTCTTTAACCTAAGAGCAGTCAATTCTTGTGTAAAATGTGAGACCTTGTTATTAAAAGTTAACAACAAAAATACAGTGTGTTGTTCCTAAACTCTTTATCTTGGGATAACGCAAGTATATCTACAATTTGGAACAAGGATCATGCTGATCCCCCGACGAAGAGTGAATCTTAACAGATTTTTCATTTATAGAACTCTGATGATAGAGTTCAACTCCAATTTGGCCATCTTCTTGCGCCAAAGCTAAGTCCGTTAGAAGTTTTGGGCATATCTTCAATAGAAACCAAACTGAAAACTGTTTAGTTTGATCCCAATATTCCTCGAACCTTTTTATAAAGGGGGAAAGAACAACGAAGAACTCGGATACGCACTCCACATCATTCTACCCATTTGGTAATATGGCCACATTCTACCCATTTGGTAATATGGCCACATTCTACCCATTTGGTAATATGGCCACATTCTACCCATTTGGTAATATGGCCACATTCTACCCATTTGGTAATATGGCCACATTCTACCCATTTGGTAATATGGCCACATTCTACCCATTTGGTAATATGGCCACATTCTACCCATTTGGTAATATGGCCACATTCTACCCATTTGGTAATATGGCCAAACCCCTGCGGAGATGCTAAACCCATATAGATTGTCAAACTTTAATAGATGAGGCAAGACAGTTAGAGGCGTTGCAAGGGATCTTTCATTCAAGATCTTCCATTAAATGATTAATGTGACAACTCACTGCAACAATCGCATTACTAAGTCAATATATCAAGTCTAGTCCCTATATATCAGATCTAGGATTGAAAAAGGTCATAATATTAAATGCATTTGAGCCTAAGACTGATCGATTGATGTTTGAGACAAGGTGCCTCAGTTGTTTTATTGAGATTATGTGTCTCTTCATTCAACGATTCTTACTAATTTGCTTTTACTATAAAGGCTAACACATTGTGCAATCCAAATATAATTAAATTTTAGACTCTCAAAGTTACAAATTTGTTCTCTCACAATTCCAGATTTTTCGAACCCGAACCCCTTTCACTTAAGTGATTTACGTCTTAAGCATATTTCACGCCCAAAATGTACTAAAACATTGGTTGAGTTGATTGTTGAAGTGCTCACGATCGCCTCTACACCATCAAAGATTGACCACGTACTCTAACAATTTGTCCAAGGGTAACTAAGTGGACATGAAGAGGAGCTGAAATTTGTTGGTCATGTCACCCCAACACAAATCAAGGTATACATATAAGTGCAAGAAGAATAGGGTGTTAGACATTATGTTGTCAAACGACCTCCTGGGCGATGATGAGAACCAATTTTATCAGTCGACATAAATGACTGAACGATAATTCAACATCGAATAATGGATGAACCGACCAAACGTTGCCTTACCTATTGGACGGCTAATATTCTTTGTGGCTTGTTGATTTCTTCCATTGGAAGTTAACCCTAGTCGAGCCTACTTACCATATCCCGACTTACCTTATGTTGGCCACTTGACTTACTATATATATTGGTGTCTTTGCCTTTGTTGGAACCGTCCATAAGTTGAAACCGTCCAACCGTGTCCAAGCCGTGAGAAACTGCCGAGTTCTTCTGCCTTCATCTCCTTCGTGATTTCTTCTCCACCCAAATTGCTTGAGTCTTTGTGAACCTTACCTGAGTGGTATCCATCCTAAGTGTGTGGATTGAATCAATTAAGCAAGAGAAGAAAGCAACCATAGGAAGAAGAGGCGCCGGCGGATGGGTCGTTCCAGTTTTGATGTTGAACTCGGTTTTAATGGTTAACTGAGCCCGGGAATCAGCGTGAGCAGCAAGAGGAAGGTCCTAACATAGGGGAATAAGAAACACAAACAAGCGAAATAAGCAAACTAAAATATTTAATAGTCAAAACGTTTAAAGCTCAATGAACACGAAATCTTGTTTGTTGATGCTAAAATATGGCAATACGCTTTTTAGGCAATTTCTAATGAAAAAGCTCCAATATTAGCCACTAAGATTAAAAACCGAATTATTTAGTCTAACGTTGAAAACGTTGGGAATGCAATTGTCGAATACTCTCCAGTGCTCAAGTGAGTAAGATCTCAATAATGTCGAATCCAAGTGAAGATTGAGATAATTGTAAGCGCACCGCATACTTTTTATGAGCCACTCAAATAATTTTCCGTGTTTTTATTGGTTTATTCAGGTGGAACGTCACAAATATAGTAATTTTGAGCTTAAGCTATCAAATTAAGAATACATTGGTCGATTATCTAATTGACAAAAGTATAAAATTAGAATTATGCTATTTGTATAGAAAGGACGGTCTAGAAAAAGTGCCAGAAGATGAGTTGGAGAAAAATGATTAAATGAAAAAAGCCAACTACGTTTTAAATTATCCAATTATATAATGCGATGCTAAATTATGTAAAATATTATATAAGTCTTAATGTATTTATAACAAGATCTATAGAATTAATCAATTATTTTATTACTCAACTCATCGTTACTTCAAAGGTAAGTGTTATATTATTCAGTCTTTGATAATGTTGATATTCCCTTCCACGCACATATTATCTATATCAGTTCGATCATTTATGAAAAAGAAAAATAACAAATTGGAGAAAGAAAGAAAAATATCTCACACCGTTTAGAAGAGTCTCTTAGGAGATTTTTTAATAATATTTACTTTTTTCTTGTCACGCCAACTAAATATATTCTTACATGTGTGGCATTAAAAAACTAGTCATGTTATTTGTACAATATTTTTTTTTTTACAATCTTGATTTGCAACACACGCTTAACAACATTAAATTCATTTATTCTAAAATTATTTTTTAAATTAATAATCCAAATTTTGATAACATCAATATTATCACTCAGAATTGTACAAAATTGTACAAATAACTTTATTCTCAAAAAATAATGTGTATTATCTACTTTAGCGTAGTTGATGATTTTTTGAGTAATGCTATTTTAATTATTAAATAAATTATTTAATTTCATAATTCATTCGCTCTATTCTTTGGTGGGGGCTTCATAGCATTATTCAATATTTTAGAGTAATTTACGTCGGCACTGAATATGTCGAATTTACTCTTCAATCATCCATTAAAAAAAATCTGCTTAGAGGAGACGACCTTTGACAAATGGCAGACCATAACTCGTACTTGTCAATCTCAGCATCTGTCATTTCTACTACCCAAAACCAACTCTATATAAGCCCCTCTATTATTTTGGTACCAAAGGCCATTGATAATAATCTTTAAAAGAGGTGGATCAAAAGACAGAGGTAAGTAGGAGATGCTGACCCTTTCTCTCTCTTCTTGTTCTCTGTACAGCACCAAGAACTCTCTCACCCTAAAAACCCCGCACTCTTATCAAAATCGAGTCTTTTTTCACAATCGCGCTCTTCAGCAACGACCCTTTAGCTCGCTCAGCTATAATCCATTGAGGTGAGTATATATACTACATAAATTTGGAATCTTTGTCATAGTTTTCTTGAAGTTTTGTCTAAGGATTATATTCTGTGATGGGGGTTGCAGAGTGTCGATTGACGACGGTAAAAAGACGATGATGAATAATAGACGACATGGGTTTGGGACGGTGTGTTACTATGGGCCACTGACGCATAGGAATCTTCAGTGGATCTCCACCATTTCTACTGCGTATGTGTATTATTTTTAGATTGTTATTATGGGTTAATTGTTGCAGTAAAATTTCTTGATTCTTCTACTGAAAAAAATAGAAACGGCCGGTGGATCGACTGATTTGATCACATGAAGATGATGAACTAATTGTTGAGTCTCGAATCCATCTTAAAGTCTACTTTGTTACCAGGGCTAGCCCAATTTTTTATGATTTTCATATTTAATTGATGTGAAATTTTGCTTTTAACATGATCTGGATGACTGTGGCTTGGTTGAGAACCCCCAGTATTGACGTATAAAGGTAGATTATTGTCGAAATTCGTTGAAGAAGTGCACAAGAATTTATGAACTGTTGGAATCCATTTAATTCTTTTCTTAGAGATTTGAAATGATCTAATTCTCCGAAGGAATGGATAGTGTAATTAATCTTAAAAGAAAAAAAAAACTATTTTAATCTTTTCTTAAAATGCCAAGATCATACTAACAAAATTAATTTTCAGGGTTCTAATGCTGGCGAGGGGAACAGCCATTCACAAATCCTTTCTTGTACCTTTATTTGCCCTACAGGCTCCAGAAAGCATTGTTTCATGGATTAAGTAAACCTTTCAAGTTATCTTAATCTCTGTTTCATATTATAATCTGCTTGCGGCTGTTAATTAATTCAACTTAGTTTTGTTGTTCCATTACAGGGGTGAGTATGGCATATGGACTGCTTTCTTGGCTCTTCTCGTTCGCCTCTTCTTCTTTATTCCTGGTAGGATATTTCTCTTCAGAGTTCAGAGTTCTCCAATTTATTTGTTGAATTTTTCATTCTGTAAGTTATTATACCAGTAAGACTCTTGAGTGGACAGCCACACGTGCTCACTCGCTTCCTTATACATAGGGTGTTCGACAGAGTTCAAATTTTCTTGAGAAATGTCTTACGAGATACCCAACAAATAAAGTAGATATCAAAATACTTAATTAAAATAATCCAAACAATAAAATAAAGTGGATTAGAGAGCAGTTGCAGCGTATTCAGTGCTGTAATGTCGAGTGCATCTTGATTTTGTCTGGATAATGTAGTCTTAACTTCTTTCTTCGACTTATGTGATATCGGCTTTTCTGTAGGTGAACTGGAGTTGCCATTTATAACATTGCTATTGATAATTGTGTGTCCTCATCAAATTACAAGGCTGAGGTTAGTAGATCCATTATAGACAGTTGACAAGGTTTTTTCTACTTATTTGAACTAATTTCGTGTTTCATTTTCTTGTTGATCGCAGGGGAACACAGGAAGGTATTACTCTTTCGTTGGTAATAGCAGTTTACTTGGCTTTCCAGCATTTTTCAAGAGCCGGCAGTTTGAGGAAAGCAATTGATCAAGGTTCGATCCTAGCCACCTTAGCCGTGATCTGTATAGTTGCTGTCCTGTGCTTGCTGTTGATCTAACTGACGATACTTTCATCAGTTTTCTGTAAATTATCGACCTTCAATAATAAGATACGAGAATTTGTGCGTGTTTTAGGCTAATGAATGTGATGCATTGTGCTTGAATACCTACTTGTTCAATCTTTTTGTACATATAAATATCATACTGGCTACAATTATATGGTTCTCATATGAATCTTAGCAGTATAAGGTTAGAATTTTCATAAATAAAGATGTGATGGGAGAATTTTGTAACCTGTAAGTTATGTTAATGATGTATCATTTTCTGCCTACAAGCACAAGGATATAAAGGGCATTCTCCGAGAGAAATGGCTATTTTCGACTAAAATAATGGCAGTCAGTAACTTGCTTGGGTCGGTATTAGTAATATGTGTTGTTCCTCCGGGAATACAGCTGGTAGCTAAGAAGCAAGAATACGGATACGTAATTCGAAAACAGTACGATACAATTATGTCAATAATTTATTTATTTATTTTTTAAGGAAACTTAAATGTGCGGATACGTGTAAAATAAGTGTGTGAACAGGGTTAGACACTTCTATTCTACTTCTGCCTAGAGACAAAAGAAATGGAAAATTTTTCCAATTCTGTTTTATATGTTCTCGAATCAAACCTTGATAAAGGTCCGATATTTTTCAATTGTTATCCAAATTTTTCTGTTTATTTGACTGCTCCAAATGTTTTGCGATCCTCAATGCCAGACATTCAGATGCAAAATATGCATTGGAAAAGTGATACTCAATCTATTGCTTTAATTTACTGAGTATATTACAAAGATATGTTTACTACTCTTTAACCTAAGAGCAGTCAATTCTTGTGTAAAATGTGAGACCTTGTTATTAAAAGTTAACAACAAAAATACAGTGTGTTGTTCCTAAACTCTTTATCTTGGGATAACGCAAGTATATCTACAATTTGGAACAAGGATCATGCTGATCCCCCGACGAAGAGTGAATCTTAACAGATTTTTCATTTATAGAACTCTGATGATAGAGTTCAACTCCAATTTGGCCATCTTCTTGCGCCAAAGCTAAGTCCGTTAGAAGTTTTGGGCATATCTTCAATAGAAACCAAACTGAAAACTGTTAAGTTTGATCCCAATATTCCTCGAACCTTTTTATAAAGGGGGAAAGAACAACGAAGAACTCGGATACGCACTCCACATCATTCTACCCATTTGGTAATATGGCCACATTCTACCCATTTGGTAATATGGCCAAACCCCTATGGAGATGCTAAACCCATATAGATTGTCAAACTTTAATAGATGAGGCAAGACAGTTAGAGGCGTTGCAAGGGATCTTTCATTCAAGATCTTCCATTAAATGATTAATGTGACAACTCACTGCAACAATCGCATTACTAAGTCAATATATCAAGTCTAGTCCCTATATATCAGATCTAGGATTGAAAAAGGTCATAATATTAAATGCATTTGAGCCTAAGACTGATCGATTGATGTTTGAGACAAGGTGCCTCAGTTGTTTTATTGAGATTATGTGTCTCTTCATTCAACGATTCTTACTAATTTGCTTTTACTATAAAGGCTAACACATTGTGCAATCCAAATATAATTAAATTTTAGACTCTCAAAGTTACAAATTTGTTCTCTCACAATTCCAGATTTTTCGAACCCGAACCCCTTTCACTTAAGTGATTTACGTCTTAAGCATATTTCACGCCCAAAATGTACTAAAACATTGGTTGAGTTGATTGTTGAAGTGCTCACGATCGCCTCTACACCATCAAAGATTGACCACGTACTCTAACAATTTGTCCAAGGGTAACTAAGTGGACATGAAGAGGAGCTGAAATTTGTTGGTCATGTCACCCCAACACAAATCAAAGTCTACACATTATGTGCAAGAAGAATAGGGGAATAAGAAACACAAACAAGTGAAATAAGCAAACAAAAATATTGGATAGTCAAAATGTTTAAAGTTCAATGAACACGAAATCTTGTTTGTTGATGATAAAAATTGGCAAGACGCTTTTTAGGCAATTTCTAATGAAAAAGCTCCAATATTAGCTGCTAAGACTAAAAATCGAATTATTTAGTCTAACGTTGAAAATGTTGGGGATGCAATAGTCGAATACTCTCCAATGCTCAAGTGAGTAAGATATCAATAACGTTGAATCCAAGTGAAGATTGAGATAATTGTAAGCATACTGCATACTTTTTATGAGCCACTCAAATAGTTTTCTGTGGTTTTTATTGGTTTATTCAGGTGGAACGTCACAAATATAGTAACTTTGAGCTTAAGCTATCAAATTAAGAATTCATTGGTTGATTATCTAATTGACAAAGGTATAAAATTAGAATTATGCTATTTGTATAGAAAGGACGGTCTTGAAAAAGTGCCAGAAGATGAGTTGGAGAAAAATGATTAAATGAAAAAAGCCGACTGTGTTTTAAATTATCCAATTATATAATGTCATGCGAAACTATGTAAAATATTATATAAGTGTTAATGTATATATAACAAGATCTATAGAATTAATCAATTATGTTAGGACTCAACTCATCGTTACTTCAAAGGTAAGTGTTATGTTATTTAGTCTTTGATAATGTCGATATTCCCTTCCACGCACGTATTATCTATATCAGTTCGATCATTTATGAAAAAGAAAAATAACAAATTGGAGAAAGAAAGAAAAATATCTCACACCGTTTAAAAGAGTCTCTTAGGAGATTTTTTGATAATATTTACTTTTTTCTTGTCACGCCAACTAAATATACTCTTACATGTGCGGCATTGAAAAATCAGTCATGTTATTTGTACAATATATATTTTTTACAATTTTGATTTGCAACACACGCTTAACAACATTAAATTCATCTATTCTAAAATTATTTTTTAAATTGATAATCCAAATTTTGACAACATCAAAATTATCACTCACAATTGTACAAAATTGTACAAATAACTTTATTCTCGAAAAATAATGTGTATTATCTACTTTAGCCTAGTTGATAATCTTTTTGAGTAATGTTATTTAGCCCCTGTTTGGTTCTAATTATTTTTTCATTAAAATGAAAAATATGACCCTTATTCATCACATCAAGCCATCAAATTTGAATTTCTATATCTTGTGTGAGGCCCGTAACGGTTATATTTTTCATTCTCATTCTTCTAAAAATAAGAAACAAACGGGAACTTAGTTATTAAATAAATTATTTAATTTCATAATTCATTCGCCCTATCATCTAGTGGGGCTCCATAGAATTATTCAATATTTTAGGGTCCGTTTGATTGCAAAGGTGGAACTTGGGTGGAAAGAAAACGAATTTCAGGGAATTGAATTGATGGGAAATTGTTTTCTCGGGAATTGTAAATTATTGTGTTTGATTGATATAATTTTTCACGTGAAAAATATTTCAATTAAAGTGTTTTTTGATGTCCATTTGACTTTGTTTTACATAAAAATTGTCAATTAAACGGATAAAATTTACTGGTATTGGGGATGAAATTTGTTTCCATTGCCAAAACAAAAAAAACAAAAAAAAAATTCAAGAAAATCATCTATCTTTTTATGTTCGTTTGGCTTTGTTTTACATGAAAATTGTTAATTAAAGAAAAATATTTTTTTTTTGCAATAATTCTTAGAATTTGTCTTCATTGTCAACACAGAAAAAAAAAATCGAAAAAAATTTAAAAAATGCTACAGTAACCGGGAAAATGGTAATCCATTTTCCCCAATTAGATGGAAAATATTCATGTGGCAACAAAAGCAAGAAAACTAATTTCATAGAAAATAAATGGTATCAAATATCATTAATTGAGTAAAAGATGAAAAACTTATTCCGTTTTTCATGAAATTTGTTCAAATCAAACACTGCCATGGAGTAATTTACGTTATCATTGAATATGTCGAATTTACGCTTCAATCATCCATAAAAAATATCAGCTTAGAGGAGACTGCCTTTGACAAATGGCAGACCATAACTGTACTTGTCAATCCCAACATCTGTCTTTTCTACTATACAAAACCTACCCTATCAGCCCCTCTATTATTTTGGGACCAAAGGCCATTGATTTAATCTTTAAAAGAGGTGGATCAAAGGACTTAAATAGGAGATGCTGACCCTTTCTCTCTCTTCATTTTCTCCGTACAGCACTCTCATCAAAGTAGAGTCCTTTTTCACAATCGTGCTCCAGTAACGACCCTTTAGCTTACTCAGCTATAATCCATTGAGGTGAGTATAGATACTACATAAATTTGGAATCTTTATCATAGTTTTCTTAAAGTTTTGTCTAAGGATTATATTCTGTGATGGGGGTTGCAGAATGTCGATTGACGACGGCACAAAGACGATGATGAATGAGAGACATGGGTCTGGGACGGTGTGTTTGACACCTACGAATCTTCAGTGGATCTCCACCATTTCTACTGCGTATGTGGATTACTTTTAGATTGTTTTTATGGGATAATTGTTGCCGTAAATTTCTTAATTCTTCTACTGAAAAAAAAAAAGAAACGGTCAGTGGATCCACTGATTTGATCACACGAAGATGATGAACTAATTGTTGAGTCTTGAATCCATCTTAAAGTCTACTTTGTTACCAGGGCTAGCTCAATTTCTTATGAAAAAAAAAAAAAAAACCTATTTAAATCTTTTCTTAAAATGCCAAGATCATACTAACAAAATTATGTTTTTCAGGTTTCTAATGTTGGCGAGGGGAACAGCCATTCACAAATCCTTTCTTGTACCTTTATTTGCCCTACAGGCTCCAGAAAGCATTGTTTCATGGATTAAGTAAACCTTTCAAGTTATCTTAATCTCTTTTTCATATTATAATCTGCTCGCGGCTGTTAATTAATTCAACTTAGTTTTGTCGTTCCATTACAGGGGTGAGTATGGCATATGGACTGCTTTCTTGGCACTTCTCGTTTGCCTCTTCTTCTTTATTCCTGGTAGGATATTTCTCTTCAGAGTTCAGAGTTCTCCAATTTGTTCGTTGAATTTTTCATTCTGTAAGTTATTATACCAGTAAGACTCTTGAGTGGACAGCCACACGTGCTCACTCGCTTCCTTATACATAGGGTGTTCGACAGAGTTCAACATTTTCTTGAGAAATGTCTTACGAGATACCCTTTCAGCAAATAAAGTAGATATCAGAATAGTTAATTTCCATAATCCAAACAATAAAATAAAGTGGATTAGAGAGCAGTTGCAGCATATTCAGTGCTGTAATGTCGAGGGCATCATGATTTTGTCTGGATAATGTCGTCTTAACTTCTTTCTTTCTTCAACTTATGTGATATCGGCTTTTCTGTAGGTGTACTGGAGTTGCCATTAATAACATTGCTATTGATAATTGCGTGTCCTTCTCAAGTTACAGGGCTGAGGTTAGTAGATTCATTATAGACAGCTGACAAGGTTTTTTCTACATATTTGAACTAACTTCGTGTTTCATTTTCTTGTTGATCGCAGGGGGACAGAGGAAGGTATTACTCTTTCGCTGGTAATAGCAGTTTATTTGGCTTTCCAGTATTTTGCAAGAGCCGGCAGTTTGGGGAAAGCAATTGATCAAGGTTCGATTCTAGCCACCTTAGCTGTGATCTGTATAGTTGCTGTCCCGTGCTTGCTGTTCATCAGTTTTCTGTAAATTATCGACCTCCAATAATAAGATACGAGAATTTGTGCGTGTTTTAGGCTAATGGATGTGAAGCATTTTGCTTAAGACCATTTGCTTGAATACCTACTTGTTCAATCTTTTTGTACATATAAATATCATACTGGCTACAATTATATGGTTCTAAAATGGATTAAATTATATACACCCCCACCCCCCAAGGAAGCCCTTGCTCATCATGTAGAAAAATATAATTTTGACATATTGACTTTGTTCAAGTTGCGGTCAAACCATTGTTTCGAACATGGTTAGACACTTCTATTCTACTTCTGCCTAGAGAGAGAAGAAATGGAAAATTTTTCCAATTCTGTTTTATAAGTTCTCGAATCAAACCTCAATAAAGGTTCGATATTTTTCAATTGTTATCCAGATTTTCCTGTTTATTTGACTGCTCCAAATGTTTTGCGATCCTAAATACCAGACATTCAGATGCAAAATTTGGATTGGTAAAAGTGATACTCAATCTATTGCTCTAATTTATAGAGTATATTACAAAGTTATGTTTACTCCTCTTTAACCTAAGAGCAGTCAGTTCTTGTGTAAAATGTGAAACCTTGTTTCCCTTAACTCGGTTAAAATAATGAACAGTAGTGAGAAGACTACCTACTTGAAGCAGTCGTGGGATCTTTGGTATTGCTGCTGTTTCAGAAAAACGTTTGTAATTACACATTATAAAACTATTTCTTCAGTTAAAATCTCTTATCTTCTTGCATGCAACCAAGATCTTTCCACAATTGGTTTAGGATAGGAATCTTCTTTCCCGTCCCCTTTCTGATTTCCCAGATATCCTTCCTAACATCTATAAAACAAGTGATATTATGTCTCTCGTTTGCCCTCATTAATTTTGATTATAATGTGCAAGTAGTGTTTTTCTTTTAAAAAATGGATGGTTTTAAAAAGATGAAATTTTTTTGATTTACATGTATTATTATTTTATTGAATATTGTGTGGTTGAAACAAATTTTTAATAGCTATAAAATTATAATATTCAATAAAATATTATACTTTGAATTTTATAATACTTTGAATTTTAATAGCTATAAAATTATAAAATTATAAAATTTGTTTCAAATTTTTTGTTAAGGCTAAAAATATCCATTTGATTTCTCAATAGGAAAATAAGAGATTTTTCTTAGTGTCGTGAATTTTGAGATACTATAATGATCCTATTTGATTTCTTAAAAGTTTAGTTGAACAAATTCATTTCTCTTGATTTTGACCAATTATTTGTTGGTTTGTCTGAGTGGAAGGATATATGGGGAAAATAAAAGAGTAATAGGTCCCAATGTGCCAGCTTGATATCGAGCATGAGATATAATCCTCGTTTGGCCCTGTTGCATCTCATCAAATTAAATTAAATTTTTCTCTCTTATTTCAACCACACAATATTCAATAAAATAATAATACATGTAAATAAAAAAAATTTCATCTTTTTAAAACCATCCATTTTTTAAAAGAAAAACACTACTTGCACATTATAATCAAAATTAATGAGGGCAAACGAGAGACATAATATCACTTGTTTTATAGATATTAGGAAGGATATCTGGGAAATCAGAAAGGGGACGGGAAAGATGATTCCTATCCTAAACCAATTGTGGAAAGATCTTGGTTGCGTGCAAGAAGATAAGAGATTTTAACCGAAGAAATAGTTTTATAATGTGTAATTACAAACGTTTTTCTGAAACAGCAGTAATACCAAAGATCCCACGACTGCTTCAAGTAGGTAGTCTTCTCACTACTGTTCATTATCCATTACATCAAGTCACCATATTTAACTTTCTATTTTTTTTGTGTCTCGTAACGATTATATTTTTCATTCTCATTCTTAGAAAAATGGGAATCAAACGGAGGCTAAATGTTATGCCATTTTCAAATCAACAAAGGAATCTTGTCGAAAACACTAAAGTTCACAATGCCTTGATAAAGACAAACAAAAATTTACCATGAAAAATATTACTCTGCCATTAAAAGGCTCAACTTTTTTTCTTCTCTGATTAGTTTATCAATTGAAAAAGATATCAAACTATTAATGTCACTTCAAATAAACAAGTTTGGAAAACGTCTCATCACTTTCTTCCATTCATCCTCCTTTAGAAGATATAAAATTCACCGTGTACAAGTCACTGCTTCCCCTTTTAATATGATTACTAGACCCGAAGCCAATCATCCTCAAACAAGAAGTCAGACAAGTGAAAGTGGGCAAGCCCCATATCTTAGATATGTCAGTTTCAAAATAATTATACTAATGTCCTACCACATTCTACGTTAAAACTTAGACGAATAGAATGTATTCTGTCTCCTACTCCTTCGGAAGATCAATATTCAGAAAAACTCTTTTAAGTTAGATGGTTGATCTTGCCAAATCAGTGCAGCCACTCGCTGTCTGGCTCTCACAAGGATTCATTTCAAAGTCTCTAAAAAAAAACCAAGTAAATGCAGTTGCAGCTACGTTTTCAAAATGTTGACTTCACAACCATAACTTGTGCTGCTAAATCAAGCTGTACTCAATCTCATCAATTTTGACATCCAGGGGGAAAAAAAAAGAAAAGAAAAATTTAAAAAAAAAAAAAAAAAAAAAAAAAAACCAAGTAAATGCAGTTGCAACTACGTTTTCAAAATGTTGACTTCACAACCATAACGTGTGCTGCTAAATCAAGCTGTACTCAATCTCATCAATTTTGATATCCAGGGGGAAAAAAAGAAAGGAAAAATAACAATAAGATGCTGTTATCCTAGTCTCCAATTTTTTTCTGTTGCTCGATTGTATAAATCATTTAAGAAGAGATCTGGCGAGGTGTTCACGTGCAGTAGCCAGCGCTTGACTTATAGTCTGCAAAAAAATAAAAATAAAAATTGCAATCACAAGTTAAGAGGGCATAATGTATCGACTTTTTTCATCATTTATCCAAAGTTGTTTCATTGAAAGAGCTACAGAGAACCCAAAAGATGCATACCTGCTCAGACAGAGGTGCTCCAGCATCCACAATGTTGCTTGCAACTTTAGTTGCAATGCTATTTGCATCAGTTTCCAGAATAATTCTATACAGAACAAGAAAAATTACATCAGAAGCAGCTAGTGACAAATGGTGGCTAATTCTTTTATACAAAGCACTATGTTCTTAATGTTATTCTATTTTCTTTTAGTTAATCCCTTCAACATCAGAAACCATTAATGTTTTCATACACGGGACATAGGGAAGGGACGGTTGGTATAATGCTAAAAATCTGCAGGAAAATGGTGTCGTTATAACTTACAGCATATTTGGCAGAGCTTAAAAGTAAGTTTGAATTTGCCTTTAAATTTTTGTTTCCAAATATGTTAGGAAACATATTTTAAATATGTTTGGACTCTCTATTTTAAAATTTGAAAATAGAAAGTGGAGTTTGGTTCTCCGAATTTGGAGAGCCAAACTCACTTCCTATTCTTAATGTACGATCATTGCATTTAGTAAGTCAGATTTTAATACTCTACTTCTCAAACTATTCAAAACACATTTAAATTGATTGTTCATTGGCATATAAAAGATTATGTTAAATAAAATATGAGAAGAAATTAGTAAATACTTCTTGAGAAAAGCAAAATGAAGAGCCAAAATAGAGAGCACTGTTGGAGCGTATAAAATTTTTGACTCCCAGAATTTGTAGATACTCTCTATAATGCATAAGATGCTCTTTATAATAAATAAAGTATCTTGAAGATGTTCTTAGTTGTAAAATTGGGTATACTTTCAAAATAAGTATTTCTTCTTATCTAAAATTTAGACTAAACTTAATTGTTTGCTCATAAGTAAAAAAAATTTAAACTTAGTCAAACATGCACTTATAATCAACACTTCCATGAAACTCCGGCCATGACATCACACATTCTGTACTTGTGCATAAAGAGGAAGCATTTTCTGTAATTCATCACGGTAAGAATTGGCAACTCACAAAACAGCAAGCTAATTAGAAAGCAAATACTTAGAAGTACGATTAAATGCTTACCCGCCGTCGACAATTTCATCAATGCACAAAAGAATGAGATCCAGATTTTCAAGTGCCTCCCTCTTATCCACATTGCCCCTGGAGTAAAGAGCCGGTAAAGAAATAAACAGAGTAGTTCACAATAGACTAGAATATGAAAAGTAAACATCACCCTGAACAATTAAGTCTGAACTACCTAAGTAGGATTCCAACAGCATCAAAGAATCCCTGAAGAACAGCAGCTAAGATGATCTCATTTTCATCTTCACCCCCAGTAACATAAAAGTAAAGGTCTTGAACAAACTTGTAAACCATGACGTTGTTCTCAAACATAGCTATCTCCACTGTAGATGAAGTGACAAGAAGTTAGCTAGCAACCAGTGGAGAATCAGACACGGAAATTTGTTAAGCATACAAACTGCCTTTACAATTCTAGGTCCCATTCGATATTGATTATGAGAATTGATTTTTTGACCGTTCGGGAGAAAGTGGGGGCCACCTGTGAGTGGAAAAGTAAAAAATAACAACTGGAATAATGAAATAATTTTCAAAATCAAATTTTTGGGGGGTGAAAAAGCACTACCAAACAGGGGCCTAGTATAGTTATTGTCAAACAAGAAAGATTAAAGTTTTGCGCATTCATAACCCTGATAGAGTGGTGGTCCAAATGTAGATATATGCAACATAGAAGAATATGACATAATTTATCCCAGAACTCTGCTTTTGAGATCATTGAAACTGTAAAATGACCAAGCCTCAGAATCCTTTCTATGGAAAACTAGACAGTCTTCCTACCTACGCTTTAATAGGGGTCAGAAACCGGTTAATTTAAGATTAAAAAAAGTCACTCCCCCAACCATTCACAGAAAACATGATCCTAAAACAGTACAGCATAAATTCATAATCAGTTTGTTTAATTACTCAACTTTAATTGGGCAAATATTTCTGCAAAGCTCTAAGGAAACAGAAAACAATGATGTGTTGACTTGCAAATCCATAACTCTAGGTTTGAGCTACCGGAAACAAGTAAAAAGCAAGGGCTAAAAATATCAGTATAACTCTAAAATTTGCAGCTGCCTCCCCAGAGTCACCTCTCTGAAGCCTAACAAAGTAACAGGTTGTCGAAATAAGCTTAAGAAGTTGTTCAATGTGGAGAACGCTGTGCTGTGACAGCTTAAAACTGCAGAAAACACAAAAAACCAGCCTAACCAAACCAAACAATCCCCAAATTCCATACCTTTAGTCAAACCATCTCTTGGCACAAAGAAATTAACCTTTGTGTTTGATGAAGCCTCACACACATAATATCAACTCTCAAATCAATTCTCTACTACTTATACATATTTTAAAATGATTTTGAATAAACCAAAGAATTTTTCTTATAATTTCATATCTACAAAATGAGAAAGTTTGGGAAGAAAAGCTTAGCTTGTTGGTAGCGCGTTGAGAAATTTTCGAATCTAGACACAGAAATTTTTGCAACATTGAGTGATGACCTTTGTTACGATTTCAAAAGTATAAGAGAGGCTATATGATATTCCAAAGTGGTCCGCACATGAAAAGATGAAGGGGTTGACAGATATCTTTAAATGATATTAACTACTGGTACTTAAAACAAGATTAAGCCCCTGTTTGGTACTGCTAAAAAATCTGATTAAAATCTAAGTCAAAGGCAAATTTCATAGGTCCACAACTTTTCAACCACAACTTCCATAACTTTTATCATAATTTGCTAAAAATCTGATTTTAATCTCGGGATAAGCATATGATTAACCAAACAAAAAATTCCAAATGAATTCAGAAGTCAAATAGCACCTTCTGTCCGGGCATTTGTCTTCTGAGTCTTGTTAAATACGGCCTTCTCAAAAGCTTCCTTTGCATTATTGGTTGGCCAGTCATCCGAATAGTACTTGACAGCAATACGTCTCCCTTCTGAATCTAGAAGAAGAATGTTCTTAATGGAAGGGCAGGACTCCTGTCAACAAGAACTCATTTACTAAGAGCCAAAATACAGCAGTATTTGAGTCTATCTCTCTTATTGAGCTGATTCGTTTATCAAGCCCTGATGACATTACTCTTTTCGGGTGCACTCTTCATTGCTTTTCATTTTTTTTCTTCCAAAAGCAAGAAGATACTATTTTCTTTTGAATGTTAAGCTCACCACGGCTCTAAGAAAAAAAGAGTGATCCGCACAGAACATGAAAAGTGACATATTTTCCGTTTAAATAATGGCAAACCATGGACAATTTCATCTTTGACTTTAAATTCCTTAGATATTGTTATGAGAAAATTATGGATGAACAATCATATCATTTTAATCACTGAGAAATCCAACATAAATGAGGTAACAGGAGACTTGCATGAAGTTTCATGAAATAGATTGCACACCATTAACATTCATATTAAGAACCGCAAAAAATTGGCTTCCTTTTCACTTGCAAAATACATTTTCTCAGATTCCATTAGAAATAGCCATGCAGCATAAAGAATTCTAATTTCCAAGATAACTGTCAAATATTACAGTCAAGTTTCATCCCGTGCTATTCATATTCATAAAATCCCATATTTTTCAAAAAAATTCTTTCACAGAAGATAATTTGCCAAACTTTTAACGAAAATCAGACAGAAGCCTCCAGAGTTACCAGAATTTTTATTTCGTATGTAAAAGAATATTATTTTCCAAATTTGGTCATGTGATTGTCAGGGGTCAGAAAATATCCTTATGCCGTAATGGCAATTGGCACCGTATTACGAGCTCTAACACAAATGTAACTATGTCACCGCCAATCGTACATGTATTCAGTATACGTAAGATCAGAGGCACCGATCTAGGAAAAACCGAAAAGATTAGCGAGGAATTGAACACATCTGGTAAACCCTAGATCAGATCATGCTGTTTTTGCTAATAGTAACATCCTTAGATTCCAAAAGTAACAGTAAAGTTAGACGAATTCCAGCATATAATTATAGACTAAACGGATTGATCGCAGGCTCCAATACATGTAACTTGACTAGTGAGAGTGGAGACGATGAGAGAAGATTGATTACATATAGAGAGATAGAGCCCTAACCATAGTGAGTAATCTACGATTGAGAAATCTCGGCAGTTTCGGAAATTGCGGATCACTCGGTCTCTCTCACGCACAGTGCAAACAAGAGGACGGAAAAATAAACGATTCTTCAGGCTGTTCTCCGCCAAAATACTGTAATCAACAAAATCGGGGGTTTGTTATTTATTTTTTCTTTCAAATAATTTTTTTTTCCAAAATTTCTTTGAAGGGTTTTTAATCTTTATTCCCTTTTAGTTTTTTATAATCTTATCCAAGATTACTTGTCAAAGTTAAACTCCATTTTGAAAAATAACAATTAAAAAATTTAAAATAAAATTGTTTTAGAGATTGTTCAAGATTGAACTTTTAATTTTGGAAATTGCTAAGCTCGGGCTACAGCCCCCTCACAAGTGGGGTGGCCTGCAAATTTTTTATTGTGCGTGAGCCTCTCGGGTTGTGAGAGAGTTGTAAACGGTGTTGTGTGCACAACACCGCCCTTTAATTTTAGAGTAATTCTACTCCTACAAAGTTGGTGTACAAAAATGGAGTGCCAAAATGTATTGGTAAAATTTGGACCCTTGATTTCAAATGATTTAAAAATCTGTTTTAGAAATAATTGGTGTAAATTTGATTTTATAACCTAACATTATAAACCCTCTTTGTCATTGTAGTATAACTCTCAATTTTATGTTTTTTATGAAACATAAAATGAATAATAATGTTATTTACAGTCACTTATTGTCGTAGTCGCTACAGGTGCTATACATATGACGGTTAATGATTGATGTACATGTAACAGTTAATGATTTGATGTATGAGACAATAAAAAACTACCACATTAATATATCAAATCACTAATTATTACATGTATATCACGTAAGGCGATTACCGTAGTAAGCAACTACAAATAACATTACATTAAAATGAATATAATTGAGATGAGATATCATAACAAACGTGTATTGTATGGTTATTCCATAAGAGAACTGCAAAGGACGTGACTTTATAAATAAGGTTACATACTCGGTTTGTATAGTTGTGTCTAAAAATTAGGGAAAATTGCAGTCGAGGTACCAAACCTTTCGTTTATTAGCAGACTTTGTCCAAACCTTTAGTTTGTGCCATCGGAGATACCAAACCTTTAAAAAATGTGTGGGGCTAGTTCAAAATGACGGTTTCCGTCTGTTTGACCGCCAAAACCGTCAGTTGACCCCTTTAATGATAATTTCAAGAATTTTCCCCAAATAAGTGAAGGGCAACATGGTCATTACACACATTTCCCTCCTCAACATCAAACACGTTAGTTGCAACTTCCTTCCACTCACCATCCACTATGGAACCTACGAAAACCCACGAAGAAGACGAAACGGACATCGAAGAAGACGAACATCCAGTGGACATTGCAGCCCACATTCGAGGCTCTCTTTCCCAACCCGTGTATGGTAAGTGTCTTCCCTTGGATTCAGTTTACGGTGTGAAGTTGTATGATTATGAAGTTCCCCTGTTCGATTGTGTTCACGTACTGGGAAATTCAAAAATTTTAAGTGATTTGGTGTATTAGAGCGTAATGCTTGTGTACTATCTTTTCTGCACATGTTCGTTGCACGAACTGAAAAGGGCTAGGGCTTAACTTCCTTTTTTTCGGTGTTTTTTAGGGGAAAATTCAAAGTACTTCAGGATACGGCTTCATCATGGTGGAATTTTATTTCAGAAAATGAGAAATTTTGTGTATGAGCATGGGAAAATAAGTTATATAGAATATCGACCCTGATTTCTTCAATAGATTTCTTTTGGACAATGCCGTGAAGATATTAGGATATTTTGATAGAATTAGATATTTGTACAAGATGGAGAAGAAAAGAATGAGTGAAGGTTCATTTTGGTTGGTTAAAAACTCAGATTTCATGAATTTAGTGAAGTGGCTTGGTGATAATATGACAGCTGAACTGTATTGCTTGCCTGTAGTTAAGGTTTTGGAGTTGCCTTGGGATGAAACAGAACAGAAGGATGTTCAATTGTTTGATTGTAAGACTGGAGAGGAGTTGGTGAAGGTTCAAAAGTCTGGTGAAGCATTGAATGGGCAGCAACCATGCTATGCTATTAAAATTTATGACGAATCAATAAAAGGTGATGACGTGTATGTAGTTGATGAAGTGGATGACATGGAAGCAGATGAAGAGAAAGTTTATACAGTGCATGGAATAGAGCATGAGTATACAGAGGTTGATTTTATAGGGGCTGAAGTAGACTCACATGAATCAGAAGTGCATGCTACTGAACCAGAGAAACCACATGATGTTGAACCACAGTTGAGGTCTGAACATGAGTTGCATGACGCTGAACCACAGCAGGAGGCTCAGCAGGAGCTACATGCTACTGAACAAGAAGTGCAGGCTGCTGAACATGATGTCGAAACAGAGGTGCAACCTGCTGAAATTGATGTGCATGCTTCTGGACCACAGCAGCAGGCTCAGCAGGAGCTGCATGCTGCCGAACAATAGGCGCAGGCTGCTGAACATGATGCCAAAGCAGAGGTGCAACCTGTTGAAATTGATGTGCATGTTTCTGGACCATAGCAGCAGGCTGCTGAGCATGAGTTGCATGATGCCGAACTAGAGGTGCAGGCTATTGAAACTGATGTGGAGTTTGGTGAAGCTCCTGAGCTGGATGATAAATATGATGAGGGTATTTTGGGAAAGGAATTCACTGACTCGGAGTACGAGCAGGAAGAAAAATATTGCTGTGGAGGATAATGATGAAAACACATATTTCAGGTTGAGTGAAGGTTTTGACATTGGTACAAGTGGTAAGCAGGAAGGTGTAAGGGATGAGCAGAAAGGTGAGGCAGCTGCTGGGGAAGAATCTGGAACAGAATACGAAGACTCCAGTGAGCTTAGAAGCTTACCCAGTGATACCGAGGCTGAGGGATCATCTGCCAAAAGGAAGAATGTGTGCTGGTTTAACCCTGTAATTGATATGGAAGATCCACAGTTCAAGCTAGGTAATGCATTTGTTTTGTGTAATTCATTTCTGGTTTAATTCATTTGGATGATAATGCATTCTGGTTTAATTCATTTATACCAGGGATGAAATTCGACAACGTCAAGATTCTAAGGAATGCAGTATTTCAATACTCAGTCAAAAATTTCAGGCAACTGAGATACGTGAAAAATATGAGGACACAGTTGAGAGTTCGGTGTTAAGATAATTGCCCTTGGGTTCTGTATGCGTACCAACAACCCGACAAGAGTCTTAGAATTAACACATTTGTAGATGAGCACACATGTACCATGGTGTGGCAAAATAAAATGGTTAATTCAGGTTTTCTGGCAAAGAAATAGTGAGAAAATTTAGGTCTAATCCAAACATTCCAATGAGTAGTTTTATGGAGACTGTGAAAGAAGACTGCATGTATGAGATTTCAAAGCATCAGTTCTATAGTACAAGATCGAAATGTGCAAAAGTTATTAATGGGATTGTAGCTGAGCAGTACAAAATTTTATGGGATTACGGTGAGGAATTAAATAGAACAAATCCAGGCAGTATAGTGCAAATCGAAGGTTCGGGACATACTTTTAAGAGATTGTACATCTGCATAGGGGCTTGTAAGGAAGGGTTTAAGGCTGGGTGCAAGCCAGTTGTTGGGTTGGATGGATGTTTCCTAAAATCTGCGAAAAGTGGATAATTGTTGGTAGCTGTTGGGATCGATAGTGAGAACTGTATGTTCCTGTTACCATGGGCGGTTGTGGATGCAAAGAACAAAACAAACTGGCAATGGTTCATAGAATTGTTGGTTCATGACATAGGGATGCACAACCCTCGAGCTTGGACATTCATTTCCGATAAACAAAGGGGTTTGGTGGATTCCATAAGTCAATACTGTGAAGGAGCAGAGCATAGGTGTTGTGCTAGACATCTTTATAGGAATTTCACCTTGGCACACAAAGGTCTGGCACTTAAGAACCTATTTTGGACTACAGAAAGGACAACAACAGTGCTAGAGTAGAAGAGTGCAATGAATGAGTTAAAAGACATAAGTGAAGAGGCTTACAACTGGTTCCTTGAAAAACCTCCTTCCCAGTGGACCAGATCCCATTTTGAAGAGCATTCGAGATGTGATATTCTTCTTAATAATTTGTGTGAGGCATTCAATTCTTCTATTGTTGTTGTCAGAGACAGGCCCATCATCTCCATGCTAGAGAAAATTCGGCATCAGCAAATGATAAGGATGAATGTAAAAAGGGAAGCGGCACAGAGGTGGGATCTTGCATTTGGGCCAAGAATTGTGAAAATCGTTGAAAAGACTAAGTCTGAGGCAAGGTACTTGAAGGCAGACTATGCAGACAACCATAAATTTGAGATAAGTAGCAGAGACAGTTTGAGGTGGAGCGTTGACTTGACACAACATGCATGTGCTTGCAGAAAATGGCAGCTCACTGCAATACCATGTCCCCATGCAATATCAGGCATGCTTTCAAGGGATATTGGCATATATGAGTATATCGACCCATGGTATAGTAAGGAGACATACCTGAAATGTTACTTCCCAGTGATCCACTCGATGTCAGGGCCTGAACTGTGGCCAGAATTGGGAAAGCATCCTCTCAATCAACCTCAGAAGAGAAAACATGCTGGCAGACCCAAAAAGTTGAGGAAGAGGTCACAGGTAGAGCCACTTGCAAGCATTAAGATGGGAAGGACTGGCATGAAGATGACGTGTGAACGCTGTGAAAGGTCTGGACATAACAAAAGAAGCTGTAAGGAGTCACTGTGTAATGAAGATAATTCACAGCAACAGTCTAAACCAACCACACAAGAAGATACACATACCAGATCAGCGAAGGGGAAGAGAAAAAGCACATTCAACGCAAACCTCCAAGTCATAGACAAAGAAGTCCAAGCATAGAGGATCGCAATCTTGAACATCACGTGGTTTCTCTTGTATAGTTACCTTCTTGGGAAAATGCTGTGGTTTTTTGTAAACTGAACTGGAAATATTTGCTTCTAATGCTGTGTATTTTGTAGATGTAACTAGAATTTTTGATGAAATTGTTCAATGTGATGATAATGTTGATGTCGAATATCTTGCATTATGTTTCTGGTGTTAGTCATTGGTTTCTGAAATTGTATTCGTAAGATCTGATCTGTAGGCGATTATGAAATATATGAGAATGTTTGATACTTCCTATGAAAGTATTATCAAACGTTTAGTATCTTTACTGCAATATTTTTAAAGGTTTGGTACTCTGTCTGAAACCATTAGAAAAGGTTTGGTACTGATTCTGTGAATCGTTATAAGGTTTGGTACCTATGCTGCACCTTCTTCAGATAAGTTTGAAGTGTAATCTGCTCTTTTAATTTCGCATTTTACATAGAGGCCAAGAAAATCTCGTTAAATTTCAATTCAAAAGGTACAACACAATTTTTCCTTTTTTACATATGCATTTCACAACATCTAGCACATGGCTTCATTTTGAAACCCTAAGCTCAAATTTTTGGAACAAAAAACTAAAATCCTACAATTTGATCCCACATACCTAAGAACAAACCCATTTTGCAAACACTCTACACACAAAGCCGAAGAGCCAGATCTTCCACACATTTGGTCTTATTGCTTGAAGGGTGTCGATTTCAGCTTCCATTTCCCTCCTAGCTCGTAATAGACCAGGAGTCAGTTCCTTCGATCTCTCACACATCGGAGGGTCACACCACATAAAGATGGTGCATCCACCCACATCTTGGCTTAGAGAACAAGTGAGAAATCTTCTTCCCAGGTTCAAGTTCATCTACAAGGTCTTCATCTGCACTGGGGAACCACATCTGCATACATTCCCCTCCATGTGCGTGCTGATTTTTTTTTACTATCTGTGAGAAAGAAGGTAGGTAATATATAGTGATAAAGAAATGGAGGAAAATAAACAGTGAAGTATCTAATAGGAGGGAAATGTGTGTAATGACCATGTTGCCCTTCACTTATTTGGGAAAAATTCTTGAAATTATCATTAAAGGGGTTAACTGACGGTTTTGGCGGTCAAACAGACGGAAATTGTCATTTTGGACTGGCTCCACACATTTTTTAAAGGTTTGGTATCTCCAGTGACACAAATTAAAGATTTGGGTAAAGTCTGCTAATAAACGAAAGGTTTGGTACCTAAGCTACAATTTTCCCTAAAAATTATGAAAGGACATGACCTGATTATATACAAAAGTTTTTTGAAGTACATATTTGCCTCTCACCAAAGGTGTTAGACCTTCTCGTATAATGTAGATCGAATCTACAAACACACGATACTAACAACTCAAATGGATTGAACTCAAGAAACAAATGTTTTCTTATTTCTAAAACAATAAAAAAACCTTTGGAGACGTTTCAAAGTTTTAAATACGAAAAGAATAGATAACCTATTGGGCCAACAGTCCCTTAATGAGTTGGGCTACAAAACGAAAATAATAAATACTGAAAATAATAAACTAAGAAACTTTAAATGCCGTTTTGACCCAGTAAACGAATTCAAACGACTAAAATCCATCATACGTCACAACAAAGCGATGAATTCATCCAAAATCATCGCAAGCTTTTAGGAATGAGATTATTAATCCAAAACGGATACTGTATGCAAAAGTTACGCCAATTTCTTTGAACACCGACCATCCAAACGTTTCATATACTCAAGTGCTTGTTCCTCCACACGAACCTCATCATCGTATACCTAGTCCCATGATTTTGATATATATGAATCGACACATTTGATTGTTTAGTGTCTCGTATTATGGCTAGAGCTTGTGATGCTCGGACTCTCAATTTCGAACGGAGTAGCTGTGTAAATATGACACGACAAGAGTACTAGACCTGATAGAAAATCTTTAAAAATTTTGTTGATTTACCTTAGTGACAGTTTGGTTGAAGATGGAAGATGTCTGTAAAGAAATAGCAAGTTGGTGCCGACAAGTCCTTAGTCCAAAATAATCTGCTAGTTGTCTATATATGTTCACTCAAAACCCTAAAATCTTGAAGAAAAAGAAGACTACGAGAATGAGAGGAGATTTGGGTTTAATTGGAGCCTGAGCCATTTTATTGGGCTCATAGTATGGATATGGGTGGACTCAATAATATAGATATAGATTGGTTTAATTGGAGCCTGGACCATTTTTTTAATATGAATATGAGTGAGTTAATAATATAATTGTTTTTACATTAAAAAAAATCATAGATAAAATATTAAGAATGACACATTTTAAGACTAAGATAAGAAACAAAGATTAAAATTTTAAAAATCATATTTTTAAAAATTATATATATTTATAAACTAATTAATTAAACATATATTTTATTAATTAAACATATTAATGTTACAATTCTATACAATTTGGTCACAATTTATAATTTTATAGGTCAAAATTTATTCATCGATCACAAATTTGTCATATTAATAGGTCAAATATTATTCATTGGTCACAAATTACAAATTTTATAAGTCACAACTTATTTTATGATTATAAAATATCAAATTAACTAGTCACAACTTATCAAATTATTGGTTACAACTTATTTCTTAATCACAAATCAAAAATTTTATAAGTCACACATTATTTTTGGGCCACAAATAAAAATCTTAAAGATTGCGGATTATTCATCGATCACAAAGTCAAACTTTTATTGGTCACATGTCATTTTTAAGTCACAAGATATCCAAATTATTGGTCACAACACCGTCACATCCACCACCATTAGATCCATCGGTGATCTGACAAAAATTACTGCCACTACTAGATTCACCACTGCCACCAAAAACCACCACTACCACCATTCCCACAACCAACCACCAATACCTCCACCATTGTTACAAAAAAGCCAAAAACCAACAATCACCAACACTATCGCACAGCCACCGCCACAACACCAAAAACATCACACAGAAATCTCCTGCTACATCACATACAACCATCGTTGAAAAGCACCAAAATCTCTTGCAACTTCACTATCCTCCACCAAGACTTCTACTCAAACTACAAAACATTCACCAGCCACCCTGACAATTCTCAAGCCGTATTCTTCCTCTGTAAATTTCATAGATTAATTCATTTAAAAAAAACCACGATGACGATGGTCGGAGTTTGTGGTGATGGCCGATCAGATCTACAACAAATAGAAAGAAGTCTCGTCAACAGCTGCGTGCAGCCCTCACGAGACGCTGCATCGCCACTCTTTTTCTTTTTGTTTCAACCTTCCATCTCTTCTTCAACATTTTTGCATCCGACAACTGTGAGGTAGAGAGGATGAGGGGTAAGAGTAGAGAGAATAGATTGAGAAGATGATGAGAGGGAGAAAAAGGTGGAATTGGCTTCAGGATTTGTACAGAAAAAATGGGTGAGGATGGAGAGATAGAGAGAGAGAGAAATGAGAGGGGAAATTAATTAGGATTTGAGATGAGAACTGTATATTTAATATTTAAATATAAAATATCTGTTTTGTGAATAATGAAATTTCTTCCCTATTTTTAGAATAATAAACTTTAAAATAGGTTGAAATGTAAACAACACACATATTTTAGTTTGATAAAATATTCAAATAACACAATTAATCTTTTTTTTTTCCTTTTTTTTTTTTTTTCAATTTGTCAGTTTTACTTCAAAAAATACGGCAATATCAAAAATAAAATCTAAAAAAAATAAAATTGAAGTTTGAAAGATGTACTCATGTACCTGTGTCAGAAATTTAGACTATTTTTAACCATGTCTCCGTATGCCACATTTTAGAAAATAAAAATTTTGACACTTAAATAGTACCCGTACCCGAATCCGAACATCATATGCTAGAACCCAGAGGTGCAAACAAATCAAAAGCTCAACCGCCTTTTTCAAGATTGGAACGTTTAGGTAGCGGATAGGAAAAATGAGCAAATGCTCAATGAGAAAAACATGTAAAATAGGAGAATATCACACAACACGTTGGCTAATAACTTCGTCCCTATTTTATAGGGTGGTGCTTTTGTCATAAGAATTTGTCGCCGGTTTGTCTATATAATGCCACCATGCCACAACTTGGCAATGACACTAAAATGAATAAAATTTTTCTTTTCCCCTTAACATTGTCTAGCATTGCCAAATTCATTTTACCAAAAGTCTTAAGAAGCTACAAAATTGGAGAAGCTTAGGCTGAGCCATCGTGACTCTCCTACAAGGTGCCCCAAATATCAAGATCCTCCTAAATGATTAACGAAATTCAAGAAGAAGATAAATTATAATTTCAACCAAATTATTTAGAAGCACAAAATAATTTTACAAGATAGTATTCATAACTAGAATACCAAGCAGTATAAAAGTTTTGCACGAAACCTTTGCCAAAAGACTCATTCTACAGTGAAATCATATGCTTTTGGCTTTTGCTTCCTAATCTCCAATAAAAAAGTTCCTAGCCTACTGGAAAATGTAACCAATAAATTTATAGATTGCAACAAATAATTACGACAATATAATTAACTTCCTCCTAGAGCATGCGATTCATCTTAGCTTCTTTTATTCCTCGTACTCTCCTATATCTCTTTAAATCTACAGGGGCTTTTAGCAAACAAGAATCAGCTGAATGTCTGACCCAGAAACGTAATTTGCTTGAGCTTTCGAAGGGGAAAGGATTCAACTTAGTAAATTTTGAACAGAACAAGTTTTCTCATAGAGATGTCACAGCACCAGTCAGAGTATAGCAAGATTACCTATAAATCAAGGGAAGCCAGGTTAGAGACAGATATATAAATGGAACGGGTCTGTGTGTGGTGGTGTGAACAAGCATGCATAAGTGCAAAACCAGATACCCTTCACCTTGTTTGGTGTTTACGTCATTACTGCTTACAATTTTCCTTTCTCGATGGGCACATTACTACTTGTATTCTCATGAATTACAAAAATGGGAGTACTTGTCCCATTCGAAGAGTAAATCCTATGTCATGATGATAAATTAATAATAGTTGATAGTATTATAAAATCATCTAATAGAAATTTCTTTCACTTTAGAGAATAAGCAAAATGATTCTGTATTCAATGTCAAACCTCGTGAGAGTCCAAATACCTAGAAATTTTTATATTTCATTCCTACCAAATGAACAAATCTTCCTGAATTTATCAACACAGTTAAAGAGACAATAGAAGAACAGAGAGCGAACGACATAAGGCAGCGGTGAACCCCCCCCCCGCCCTTCTTTTTCCTTATATAGCAGGTTTGTTTTAAGAACTAATCTGTTCAGTCCAAGAGGCGTCAAAAGGCAAGAATCGATATTAATCTATTTCCATCAATCGATTTAGAATCAAATTAGTTCATATTCCACTCTATTTGAATAGAGTTATTGAAAGCTAAAATCACTACGTCTTAGATATGATTAAGAACTTGCACAATTGTATTGAACAGAAGTCCGAATTCTGTCGTTAACTCCTTGAATATAATTACACAGACCAGTACAGTTACCATCACAATCCAAAGTCAATTCCCAGCAAAGTAACCTAAAAAGAAGCATCAATGTCCTAAAGTTTCTTATCATGTCAAATTCCTTTGGCACAGCTAATTTGCCTTGCCATTGCAGATAAAGAAAGTAATGAAAACAAGAAAGCATTGATGCAGGGGATGGATTAATGTGGACAAGATCATGGTTTTAGAGTCTTTAGATGGAGATTTGGGCAGAGAGTATTGCAATGAGCTTTCGTCTTCCATATGGATATTAATACAGCACAAAGACTTGTGGTTTCGGACAGGCCCATCTTTGTGCATGCAGCTCTTCTTGAAGGAATCCACTTCTATTTCATTACATTGGAACTATCTAACTATAGAAGCACGGGGCGTGTTCATTTTTTAATGAAAGATAACATAGAGAAAATGAATTCTACATTTTGAAGCAATAGAAGATTTCTAAACCAAAGAGATCAGATTTTACTACAGAGATTGTTTCATTCAGAGATTCACTCCTATCTTGTAATACATAAAACAATTTAATCACGGAAGCACAGTATATGTTTGATAAAAAGATAGCTTAGGGCGAATGAGTTCATTTTTTTTTTTTTTTTTTTTTTTGAAACAATTGAAGAGATTTCTACACTAGGCCATTAAACCACAGAGAGATCAGATTCCACTATAGGAGATTATTTCATTCCAGTTGTCCTTTATAATTACTAGGCTAATAAAACCAAAACACAAGATTCAACTGTCAGAGTGTACATAATTATCCAAATCTTCAGCTGATCAAAATGCGAATAAATTGAACTCCAATTACAAAATATCAACCCAAATCACACATTTTTTGAAAAGTTAAGGAAATTACCTTAGGCAGAGGCTCATTTTGACAATGGCTTCTGCAAAAGAGCAGTCAAATAAACTTCACCATTCTTCACCCCACTCGAATCAGTCTTATTTGCCACAGCCCACTTCACCTTCTTGTACCCCAACTTCCCAATCAAGGGTGAAAAAACCTTCTCAAGATCTGTCCTTTTACTGAAAAAATGGTCCAACCAAAAGTAACCTCCACCTCTCAATATTCTGTCCACATCAAAGAGCAAGAACTCCATTGCGGTCAGCGGTATCCACCTGTTGACAGCACGCCCACATCTCACAAGATCCACCACCCCATCAAACACCGGCAGCCTCTGCTGCAATGGCACATGGAGTGGAATTAATCCCCTCAGCGCCACGGCTTCATTGTATGGGGCGCCAAAATTCATTGTGGTGGTTATGACTGTCACATTCAGCAGCTTCATCTGGGCAGCAAAAGTGCCGGTGCCACCGCCAATATCAAGTGCAAGTCTAATGACACTTTTTGCTGATTTAGAAAGCTGGAAAAGCTGCTGGATTGGGAGATCCAGATCTGAGTTATAAGCCAAGAATCTTGATTTCTCTACTTTCATGTCAAAACCCATGTCAGATTTCGTATTTGCAAAGCAGGAGAAAGTCTTGCATCTGTAATGGCCTAATAATACTGTGTTTTCCGGGAGTGTGGCAAATGGATTTGTGGGAAGTGAGGATGGGATGGTGGATGTGGTTCTTGAAAAGCAGCGGCGACGGGGGAGGGGGTGACAGCCTCGGAGAATAAGATCCTCAGCTAAGGGAGAGTCATTTGGGCACAAAGCAAAGGGAGTGTAATTCATGTACTGGTGCAGGAGGATAGGATGGTCTTTACAAGAGGAAGCAATAGGGGCTATATGAGTATATAGGAGGAGATCAGAAGGAGTGGAGGAGGGGGTTTTCTTGGTAGATGGCGTGGCGGGTTGGAGGCTGGTAAGGTGGTTGATGGTGGCTCGTATGGTGGTCAGCTGGTGGATAAGGTGGTCGGGAACTGGCGGAGGACCCGGTGGCGTGGATTGGATGGTGGATGAGAGGTGGTAAAGGGACAGAATATTGGTGGCCACCATGGCTAGCAAAAGGAGCAAATTTAGACACATTGTGAAACCCATATTCAAGATTTTCTTGATTTTTGCTGATCTTCACGAGGAATTTCTTCAGTTTATGCAGATGCTCTTTCAACATGTACACACACTAGAGAGAGAGAGTGTGTGTGTCTTTGGTAGCATACAACTATCAATAATGTATTTATTATGTCTGTATCTAAAGTAATACAGTATTGTGAATTGGGGCACTGCGGGATTGCTTTGATCTGGGAATCTGAGATTTAACTGGCTAGATTTTGGATCCAAGTAAATTCTTTTTTTCTTCATTTTTTGGTCAAGTAAAGACTAAAGAGGAAAGATATGAAAGACGCTGAAACTGCGGGAAAAAAAAGAAAAAGGCAGTGTCTTAATTTCACTAAGCGTCTTCAACCAAAATTTAGAGTATGTTTGGAGGTGATTTTGAGAATTGATTTTTTGACAGTTAGAAGAAAAGTTTCGATCTTTTCATTCATTTCCTGTGGGTCCTTCTTTCCCTAATTCTTTTCGTTTTACTAACGAATTATCTAGAATAGTTCGTTAATCTAGATCGGCTAATTGTTCTCGGAGAAGAAGTCAAATATGATGGCTGAATAGTGAAATAATGGTCAAAAAATCAATTTTTTGAGAGAAAAAATTACTCTCAAACAGGCCCTTAATTTACTTTTTTTTTAAAAAATTTTTTGTGATCCACTTTGTTTATATTTCATGACATGGACATAATGATTGTTAGTCAATGGAGAATACGTCAAGATTGAAAAGATTTATATGGTAAAAGAGTAATGGCGAAGTAGAGATGATTATCTCCTGATCTAATATATGAAATTTTCAGTAATTGACTTCAACCTGTCAAAACAAGGAAAAATGCTCTAAGACAACTTTAAGGATTCACTCATTTAAAATCATATTAGAGTTAATGCGAGTTGCCACTTAATTATCAAAAATTATTCAATAAGAAAACTCTTAGACTTATTATCTAGGAACTTTTTCAAAAATATAGTGAAGTGCCTCTTCGGGCTCTTTTAAGGTATTTATATGAATATCGAGAAAAAGTCTCTCCAATAAGCCTTTTTGGCTGTAACTTTCATAGAGATACTGAAAAATGTACAAGAGCTTCGATAAGACTCGATAAGCTATGTTTTTGAGTTCATGTCAAGATTTAATGGATTGAGTTGCATTTGGAGTAGATGATGGTAACATAGTGATCAATTTATAAATATTGTTTAACTAGAGAGGTTAGAAAGTTACTTAGTTGACGTTATAAAGCTACTTGGACAGGATTATTAGACATGGTAGTTGACAAGTGCGGAGTTGTCCTGCACCTATCTAGCTCTTTTTTTATTTTCTAAAATTGTCCAATCAAAATTTAATATGTGTTTCCTAAAAATTAAATATGTCAACGACCTTGTTCACGTAGCATTACTTGAGCGGAACTTTTATAATTCTGGATATTTTTTAGTTGTCGGTGCACTTCAACATAGATTTCTCCAAATTTTTTGTATTATACGGATTTGGTGAAGTGATAGACCTGGAAGGAATAGGAGGCCAAATACTTGGCTATGTTGACCGTAGAATGTGGAGGACCAGTTTGTGGTTGCATGTGTGGGGCTCAATTTTTTAGAAAATGTATTTTTTTCTCCTTATTTTTGGCAACACGTTTTCATATAAAATAATATTATACATAAATTAATTTTTTTTATTTTTTTAACGACAAATTCTTTAAAAAATCACTATTCCAAATATATTTTTCCTCAAATTCCCATTAAAAAATAGCCCAAACAAATAAATTCATCTGCAAAATCTCAAACCACAGGGATAAGGTCGTGTTTGGTTTTCTAGTATTTTGTATCCTCGTCCCCGTTTCTCTCCTTTTTTTTCTGCTTTGCCAAACACGCCTAAAGGATTCTCCATCTTTCTAGCAGTCTTTTCTCCTTGATTATGTACTTGCATCAATCAAAGTTTTCATTTCACTTACCATTGTAACAAGAAACCATCAAGTGACGCTCCGATCCGAAAGTCGCCGGAAAACACTGTATCTTGGCTACCCAAATCACTGTTTTCAGTTTAGACCCACATGGAAAAAGAGCCTCTTCTCCCTTATGTCAACCCCAGATGGCCACCATAAACAATCTTACTCTGCCCTTTACCCGAAGACAATGAAATTACCAACCCAACATTGCCCATCACCCCATCTGCAAAAGAATTCAAATAAAGGCTCATATTGTTGGAATTTGAAAAGATAACTAGTTGTAGTAATTTACGTAATAGTAAAATGTAGAAATAAAACTTATCGACTAATCGAGTCTCGTATGATGCCCTAAAGTCAACTGTTGCGACTTCTGTGAACACTCAATACCAAAATATAACGATCACAAATCGCTTATGCAACAATCACGAATAGTTTCTCAAAACTCTCAAGTGTATTTCCAAAAAATATGTAAAACTCGAGTATAAAAATTTATAACTTCGTTTTTGTTGTGTTTTGGAATAGATGTGTGTTTATATAGACAGAATGGATCTAATCGCCCCACTATGATCCGGAAATATTTGCACATTTAATAACAAGTGGTTAATAGGTTATTGATAATGAGTTGTTAAAAAGTGACTATATAATGTTGGCTACTTTGACCTATTAAATAATTTTGAAAATGATTAAAATAAAATAAAATATTTAATCAAGGAAGCCCAACCCCAAGACTCCAATCAAAGACTTTTATATTATTGCGTGGAATGTGACCCGAAACCACTAACCTACCACCCAAGTTTCACACCTTCCACCAATTGGACATTTAATCTAAATTAGTTATTTTTTCGCACATTATATTTATTATATAAATATCTAACACCCATTTGGGTCTCCCACTTATGCATCATCCCCTCTTATAGATTCTTCCTCTTCGACCCTTTTCAATGCCTTAACCTTAAGTGTCAACTTTCCCAAGCCCTCAAAACGTAGTCTTGATAATGAAAGTTTTAGTACCGAAACTCAGGTATTGAATCTTGATCAAGAAACTAAACAGTCTTGGTTGATTGATAGGCAATTTTGTTGTCAAACGACCTCCCCGGGCGATGATGTAACCCTGGTTGTTTATTATCAATCGGCCTCGGCCTAATGATTGATTAGCACATCGACACAATTAACGAGACAACACAATCCACTTTGTTATGGACCGTTCGAAGTAACCTATTTTATAGTGTTGCTCACGGTTCCCGCACCATTCCTTGGAAGGCTATATTATTATTGTTGAGGACCAATTATTTGAGTCGAGCCTTGTTTGTTGATCCACCACTTAGCCCTAATTGTAACTTACCTTTTTTGGACAATATTCTTGGCATATATTCCCCTCACTCTCTCGGCCTCCATTAGAGTGAAAAACCCCTCTTTGTGAGCTTCTCTCTCTCGGCCTCTTCTTCCCCCTCTCTCTGTGACCTTTGTGGTTGATATATTGTGGGTATTTTCTTGGCCTTCTTCTTTCCAATCCATAGCAACCGGACCGGTGGCGGCATAGGGTGGTATTGGAGTTGTCTCAAGTAATGGTGTCGATGTTTTTGGTAAACTGAGCCTGATTTTGCACTGTTTGGCTGTGGAATTCGATCCTACAGATGGTATCAGAGCTAGTTGAAGCTTTTTCGGCCTGAAAATTGACAAAAAATCGGCGGCAATCGCGATTTGGGGTTGAGGAACCGCGGCTGCAACCTTGATTTTCGGCCAATCCAGCCACTTTTCGGCGAAACCGAACCCATATCCAGGTTCAGCAGGCTGAGGTGCTCCCTCTGCTGTGGCGTGTGGCGGCGGCGGCGACCGGCAGCGTGTGGAGCTCCGACGACGGCACGTGGCGGCTGTTCCGGGCGAGCTTCCTTCGGGCAGTTTGCTTATTTTAATCCCATGAACGCACTAACACTGTTTATTTTCTGTTTCAGGTTATACAGAATAAGTTGGACAATTTTGCCCCCGGTGGATCGACGGTTGAATCTGCATATATCTACTGAATTACTTTAGGCCAAGATTGCGGTCCTAAAACAGTAGATTCACATCTCTCTCGATAATACGGACTCAGACACGTCCGCTCTGGTAAATTGGCTTAACCCGTTAATTTTTCAGCATTAGCGCGTCATCGTGTGGGGTGACAATAGGTTGGGGGTTGTCATTGCTTGGCAACCATTGCTTGTGCTAGAATTAGGGTTATGTGCTCTTAATTGATCCTTTTGATTGAGTATTTGTTTTTGGGTTTAAAATCAGTTTTGTTATTCTTAGTGATCAAAATTATTGTGGGACTAGTTATCTGCTAGACGTATTTTTTACTGCATTGTTATTTTCGCTGCTTACTTATTCCGTTAGAAATACCGTGACTTTACCCTTTCGAACATTCCCTTGATCTAAGACCGCGAGTCTTACGAAACTCTGGGAATCTAGAACGGAGTATATTATCTGTGACCCCTAGGACTATTTTGTGTGGTTTGATTGTGGTTTGTGCATTTTTTGGCTATTGTGTAAAGATGACAACTCATAGTTTTGATTTGGGATTTTTTAACGGAAAGGGTGACTTTGCTATTTGGCAACAAAAAATGAAGGGTATTTTAGTCCAACAAAAGGTTTCAAAAGCCATTGAAGGCAATTTTTCAACTGATTTTTCACAAGAACAAAAAGAAGAAGCCGATGAGCTTGCTTATACCTCAATTATCTTACACTTGTCTGACGCTGTTTTAAGAAAGGTGGGTAAATTAAAAAACACCAAAGAACTTTGGAAGAAATTAGAAGACTTGTATTTGCTTAAGTCTACACCTAATAAGCTTTACCTGCTTGAACATTTTTTTAGTTTCAAAATGGATTCTTCAAAGGATCTTGATGAAAATCTAGACGTGTTTAACAAATTGGTGCAAGACATAGTTAATTGTGATGAGACTGTGTCCGAAACTTATAAGGCTATAATTTTGCTAAATGCAATCCCTGATTCCTATAAGGAAGTTAAGAATGTCATTAAGTATGGCAGAGACACGTTAACACCTGAAATTGTCATAGATTCCCTCAGAAGTAAAGAAATGGAAATTAAGGCTGAAAAACATGATAAAAGGAATGGTGAAGTACATATGATGCGGGGTAGAACTCAATTTAGGCAAAATAGTCGTGAGGGATATCAAACTAGTGGCGAGTCAAGTGGTAATGGATGGAAAAAGAAGGGCAAAGGTAGGTCCAGATCAAAATCTAGAACTAAGGCGAGAAAATGCTATGGTTGTGGAAACACAGGGCATTTTATAAAGGATTGTCATAAGGAGAAGGGTAAGCTAAAAGCTAAGGAGAGAGATGAGGTAAATG